GGTAATTTAAAATAACCCCTTAAGTTAACAGTTATTTACATTTTTGTATCGTGGATATTTAAAAGATTAACATTTCGTTGCTCTAAATTATTTTTATGGTAATAACAACAGAGTATTTCCATTTACTGGGTCAGATTAAAAAATAAAATACATTCAAGTGAAATTATGCGCGAACACTAATTAAAACCCAATGCATTAGAACACTTCTTTTGAAAAAAACACTTGCTGTTAAAGGAATGTTGTTGATTAAAATTTTATCTTACACAAATGGAAAATAGAATTTATCGATTCACTTTATGTACCTACGAATTCCTAGTTCCAAACATATGTCTACGATGCGTGGGCATATTTATTATTAGTTTTCGCGACTTGGCCAAAATGTAGAGGTTATTAGCTGGCAGAAGTATTTATATCAGGTGCTGTATTAATAATATATTTTTAAAATGCATACAATTCGGATTAATCGCATGATACTGCAATGCTATGAAATAGAAGTGAAAGATAAGTTTTTTTCTTAATTTGTTTGTCATATACAATTCGGATCGGTGCACATAATCGAGTAGTCCATATTAAACAATCGCCTGAAATCGATGTAAATCCGAACTAACTAAAACTAGTCTAGAAGCCAATCAGATTTTTTCATTCCATTTGTCAGAAATAGATGTTAACTGAATTATACTATTTCGTAAATTCTCTTTAACTGTAACTTAGACATTGCTTTGAAAACTGTCATTTTTATTATGATAACGAACGTAACATGAGTGTTAATGTTATCAAATATACACTATCGGATTAAAATACATGATTATAATGTTTTTTTTTTAATTTAAAAAACTTCTCGACGATTCACACTTTTAGCAGCAAGAGTTGAATCAAACAATTATACATTTTGTAATAATAAATCGCGATCAAATCTGTAAGAGTATAAACACAAGGTTAAACGAACGTTTAACTTGAGGTCTGTAATCGCAATAAAATAAAACGCATACCACAGCAGTTTTACTTTGACTAAACCAGTCGTTAGGGCTGATATATTTAAAACTGTTGTATGTTCGAAATTTGAAATATTTTTCGAATTAATTTCGAACGTTCTAAATTCAAATATCTACTTCACTTTAGCCGTGTTACTTAAGATCTTATTAGTGTCGGATAAACATTCGTGTTAATTACAATAAAGGTTGATAAATATGTAAAATAAATTTTTTCATCTCCTAAGGAAACCTATAAATAATAAAATTTCATGTAGTATTCTATTAGTATTTGAAGGAACGTAATATAAAATGGGAGACTGCCAACCCTACTATTCATGACGCATAGTCAATGAATTTATGTATAGTATAGATATTCTTATATACTTAATATGTATATTAAATTGATTTTGATCTTAAATAGCTATTGAGAACAATAATTTTACATATTAACTCGATTTAGCAAACACATATCTTATTTACTTCTGTTGTGCAAATTTAAATAACGTAGGTAGGTACTGATTACCTATCCCAATATTCTATCCCAAATAATTAAGGTTTCTCCTAAAATTTAGCCTGATACGTGCGAGTTAAACGTCGTGCGTACTAACCACTAAGCCGTGGAGTAGAAAAAGCGAAGCATAGTTCGCAATTAATAAACGAAAACAAAATCATAATAACATCACTTTATATACATAATGGTGATTGTCACTAGAGGGCGTAAGCAGTAAATTAATTTCATCGCAGTTTACATATCCACCCATAGATGGCGTTGATACACAAAATAATTAAGTTGTCATATGAACTCTGCTATACATTGTACTGGATCTGGATCTATTAAACATTACTACCGCATTATTTTCCTAACCTAGTGACTTTTACCTGATATTTAAAGTTATGTTATTTGAGGCCATCTTTTCAAAGGTTGGCCTGGCATTTACAGTGAACTTTAGACTCATTTCTTGAATAATAAATGATATAGGTAACAAAAGAAACTAGAGCATTATAAACATCATTTTTATATGTATACAATTACAATAAGATATTAGAATTAAATGCAATGATTGCTTTTGTACATAATATTAGAAGCAAGTGCCGATACTTGCAAAGGAACGATAGGTACTGGTTGACAAACTCGAAAATAATGTACTTCGCTTTTTTTGTATTTACAAAAATCTATAGTCCATATATAAAATCACGACACAAAAACACTACGATCAAACGCTTCCTAGAAATATAATCATAGGGAGATATATTGAGGAAAACAGTCCCCAATAAATATCCAAATGCCAATGATTAAACGACAAAGTGGAACAAAAGGGATTATTCAGGTTAACAACATCTCAATACAAACAACTATACATCTAAACCGAAACTAATAAGACTGATAATCCCTTGAAAGTCAAATTAATTACTGACCATGTTAGCCCTTTACTGGCAGCATTTCAGCAATGACGTACAAGAATTTGATTAATGTTTTCATAATTGTGTCTATAGAATTTTAAATAGGAACTGTTTTCAAAAGCAAAGTCTTAAACTGAAATTTATGAAGCAAAGCAACTAAGTTTAAGGTCCTGGGTTCGATTACAGGCGAAAAAGCTTTGTGAGGGTTTATGTATACCACACATTTTGTATTGCGACAGTGTGTAGCTTACAATTGGTAGCGCCGGTCGTTCTTCCCGCGAGCAATAAATATTAGCTACTGATTACTATTAATTTCCTACATACTCCTTAACTTAGTCACCGCAACATATGTGCATATGTAAAGCTTCAAAGACAGCTTATACAAAAATAATGCGGTATACACAGATGAGACTATTCAAAATAGTAATATTAAAAGCGAAATTATTTTCACCACTAGATGGCATTTTGCCAAAGAAAGTGGAAAGCGTGGTTTTACGCAATGGTACGAGATATCACTGAATTATACAGCCTTGAACTTTACCTATCGATTATTTAATTTTGGTTTGACCCACGAATTCCCACAGACACGTATCTATTAGTAAAGGTCAATTGTTTTTTTATCTTTGCAATTTGATTACCAGTATGATTATTTAATGCAGTTACAGGGTTAGCCAGAGACAAGCATTTGCGCATGGCTCCGAAATGTAGGGTGTGTAGAACTCGACCAAGGAATCTGCTATTCAGTGACTGTGAGAGCAATACCCATTGAAACCATCTCGAGTAGTTCCTACAAGGTCGCGTTCTAGAGCCTCTCCTGGAAATCTCTAAAGATTCGGATTGGAGACTGTTTTTGACGTACGAGAGTCGAACTTTGCGTTAAGTCACGACTAAATCTTTAGGCTACATTCAGAAATTAATATTTAAAGAATTTCTTTTATTTACAATCAAGTACAGAGTATTTATGTGTACGCTTTTATATGAGAAATGATTCTTTATTTTTATGTTGATAAGCATACAGGTACTCACAATGTTTAAAACTGGTAAAACTAAGATTTCAATCTACAGTGGGTCGTGTCATTCGACATCACAAGTCAAATCTGCAATCTGCTATTAAGAGGAAATGTTGAATTATTTAAATAAATTCAAAAAAATATTATATTTAAACCTATAATAATTATTATATTATAAAGCTGAGTTGTATGAGTTGGGTTAGTTGAGGCTAAAGATTTGTATTGGATTGTCCACTTATCAAGAAAGGCAGTATATTATACTACCCTCCTCCAATTGAACCACCACCGAGCCCCTGCTCTATTTTTAACTCGTAATGATCTAGTTATATATATTATGAATCAGCTATGTCTGGAGTATATTTAGAATAAAAATATATTATTAAAGAAGCAAAAATGTTCTTTGTTCTAACAAAAATCTGATAAAACCGACTGAGCTAAGCAGAACGTATGGAGCTCATGCAGCCCTTAGACAATTAAAAAATCTTCAAACGCCTAAAGTAAAAAATATTCAAAGGAATAAATGCAATTTCATGGGTGAAGAGGTTTTGAGTATCCTTGTCTCAACACGCGCCTAACAATCTATTGTTTCGACTATGACGCTTTTAAGAAGAGTAAACTTCACCGTTGATAAACTTTTACACAACATTTCGGATTAATTTTACATTTTTCTCTAGAACATCGGATGAGCTTAAACATTTATGACCGAAATTCACTCTGGTCCTTTTTAAGGCGAATTAAAGAAACTAAATTCATTAAATCTATAAAATAAAAAAAAATTGATTTTCGATAGTTTTAGAGAACTAAAGCTCTTCGAATATTTGTTGTAACATCCTAACATGTTGGAACATGTAATTATAGGATCTTGAAATCCTGCTATATAGGATTTCAAGATTTATTTCGAATTTTAGATGGATGCATTTTTATTTATTTATTTATTATTGGATGTTGAACTTTTGACTCTTCTCGAGTTGATGACTTATGTGATCTAAATATAAATACATCATATCGTAATTATTATTATTATTCATTGAGATTATTATAGTCAACACTTCTCTTGAAAAGTCCTAAAATATTAAGTAATAATGATCCAGTGGCGCTACTGTCCTACATGGGTCTTGTGGCTTCAGATTACGTGCGATTCTTTGATGATATTATTTTATAGACTAGTAGGTGAGCCTTCTGATAGTCTGTCGATTTTGATGATATTGTCGAAGGAGCAAGAAAAGTACATAGACAGAAAGTTCCATTGGTGAAATGCCGTGATTCGAAAACACAACCTCAGCTGACTGAGGATTGAGAATACTAAAAGCTAGTATAATATAAAGTATGCGTGCTTTTTTATAGTTGGAAGAAAATCGTAGACTGGGGGAAAAGCACGTCAAAGTCGCAAGGTCGGCGATACGACGAGGGTGCTTAAAGCTTATAGCTCTCTTGACGAAAGCTTGTTAAAAGCGTTGGGAAAATTCAGAGCTTTATTTGCTACGGCTTTATATTGAAAAAAAGTTTGGCGGTGCGAAAATAGTTTGCAAACGCTACTATAGAAAGTGTGTTAAACAAGATTTTATACGTTTATTTTACCAAGCATTTAATATTTAAATTTATGTTAACTGAATAAGTCTCAGTTGCCGATTACTCTGTCCGCTGAACTAAAATGTTTTTGTATCTCCAGGATGAGAACCGGAATATTCTAGAATTTAACGGGACTAAGTTAAACTACAGTAAATAAATAACGTTAGGAACATACCTAGTTCGTAGAAACATGTAATACTATATTTAAATACTATATTTAAATACAATAATTAATATGATAAGCAAATTTAAACAATAGAATCCTATAGACAATGGTATAATACTATATCTGGAAACGAGTAGTCGTGAAACTAGTAAAGAACAAAAGACGCCGACAGATTAAACAATTTCATTGCTACAAAGAAATCCTACTGAGGGATAAGAATTCTTTTTTTTAAATCTAAATTATTTCTTCTAAATCTATTTAATTGCACTTCCAAGAAATATTGCATTTTTAATATAAATATGTATGCAGATTAATTTTATGATCTTATGACATGATATTGTAATTTACAATAGCAAAGCAACGATCCTGACATATTTTTATGCGATTTCGATATAGTTGTTACAATATTAATGATGAACAATGACGCCGGGATTAAAATAGCAATCGACGTGGAACAATGTACGCAAATTCTAAATATTCCTACCTCATAGGTACAATAATACATTTGAGTTTTCTATTCCCATATTAAGGTTTTATTCAGGGTTTTGATAAGTCAAATCGCTAAACAATTTTTTTTATCATATATTTAACGCCACATAAACATTCAGAAAATGGCTGGAAGACTATTATGGGTTAAATAAAAATATTAAAGTACTCACATTAATCCTATTTTTAGCTCTCTCAATCGCCTTGGAATCATCCCTCTCGGGACTCAAACGGCAGACTCTCGCTCGCCAGTCATTCGCTCCAGCCGCTTGAAGCGCAGCCAGCCTGAAATATTTACAATAAATATTGATAAAAACTATTATATCATAAAAACACATTAAACACTAGCTGACCTGGCAAATGTTTGTTTTGCCAATAAAAAATATTGTTTGATCGTTGAGGGGTAAAAATTAAGGGTTGTATATATTTTTGTATTTTGTATCATAAAAAATAAATATCTTAAAAATAAAAATATTGGACACCCCTTATCACTTAGGGGTTTGAAATCTAGATAGTAGCCGATTCTCAGACATACTGAATATGCATAAAATTTTTCATAAGAATCGGTCGAGCCGTTTCGGAGGAGTATGGGAACGAAACTTGTGACACGAGAATTTTATATATTAGATACAGCTTTGTGTTAAATAAATTCACAGGTGACTATACAGTACAATATTCCTGTTCTAGTAGCATACGGAAAATCCCATACAACTCTTATTAAGGACAATGTTGGGACGGAAACAAATTGATAATGTTATCTCCAGACTTCTCCAACAAGTTTAAGGGTAGCCGTTATCTTTGACAAGCTGTTAAAATTGTTCTATTTCAACAGATAAGGAACTCATTAGTTAATACGTCAATGTCTAATGATAATTTAGTGGAATATGCCTGTCCTGCAACCCGGGCACAATTCTGTGTTTGTTTCTACGTAGTTGCTATAAAAAAATATCGGTGGCGCTACAACCTTTTTAGGTCTAGGCCTCAGATTTCTGTATATATTTCATGATCAATGGTCAATCTAATAGGCAAGTAGGTTATCAACTTTCTGTGCCACACTCCGTCGAATTTTCGGGTTTCCTTACGATGTTTTTTTTCAATATTCGAGTGAATTTTAAATGCGCACATAGACAGAACGTCCATTGGTGAACAGCCGGGGCTCGAACCTACGACCTCAGGTTTGAAAGTCGCACGCTGAAGCCACTAGGCCAACACTGCTCGTAGGTGCTATACTTCGTTAAAGACCTACCATAAAATGGGCGCAGGATTGTGTCTGCCCTATAATATTATAGCTAGGTATATTTTGAACAGTGTTGAATTTCAAATCTAAGTGTAAACGTCCCAAACAATTGTTATGAGCATAGACTCAATAGATTTCTAAGTAAGCCTCAAAAGGTATTTCTATTAAATTAAACGATATGGTTTCTATTTACTTCCGTGGAATACAAGTAAACTTGGTCTCGGAACCGAAGTCGGGGATTAAATCTTAAACAACGGACGGATTCACAAAGCCAAAGCTAAACTGTGTTGTGTTCTGCCGAAAGTTTATTAGTGTATTGTTACTAAATGTTACTTTATAAGTACTATAAGTAGTTCTGGGAAGAAACAAAATAATGACTGCGCTTAGCAGATTAACAATCGTACTTATAATAATTTAAGTATTAACAGTTATTTAAGTCATTTAGCTAAGTCATCATAGATGCAATGGGAAACCAAAAAATTCGTTAAAATCATTGACTAATCGAGAATTATAGTTTTATGTAAATTTACTGAAATTTAAAACTTATTGTTGTTGGTAGCAAAACGACACAAATTCCAGGTGGGCCAATCTACGGGCAGAAGCTAGTAAGGATATATTTATTTCACATTAGATGCAAAAGTCTGTACCTAATTAAATAATAAGGAGGACAACGGGCGATCTCTCAACTGTAGAGCAATGTCTTCCACGCAAGAATAAATAAAATGGCAGTGCAAACCAACATAAGACAATTACTTAAAAAGAAACATCAAAAACCATTAAAATCAAAATATGATATCTCTGATATAGACGATACAGAAAACAACATACAAACAGACTAGGGAAAGATCTATGAATTAGGCTTTTAAACTCAAAAAATGTATTTCTTATCATCGTCGGTGATAGTATTATCTACGGTTAAGTTGTAACGTTTACCGTTACTGATTAACTAATTAATATTAGATAAGTGACCAAAATATTTAACTACTTTTGTTACTTTTATTTATCGGTAGCTTTGTTCTTAGATTGTATAACTTGAATAGCGAAAAATAGATAAAATTGTGAGTTTTTAATTGATAAAAAGGGTTTAAATGGACGGATTTATTATTAAAATCTTATAAAATTAGTCAAACACTCTTTGGAACTTTTTAATTTAAATGAAATTTTTTGGGAAAATTACGATGGTACTTTTTTATTTAAATTTATGAACATATCCGTGTCGGTTGCATATATCACACTTAGTTGATCAGCCTGCAGGCTTTCTAATCATTGTTTCGTCGAGAAGTGTTCACCAGAAACCCTTCTCTCCGAATTATTAAAATGTATGTATGATGCATGTTACGTAAAATGGGTTAAATAGATTTAGATAAGTTTTTGGTTCAATCGTTGAATCGTCTAACGATAAAAATAATGTTTAACAGAACTGAGTTTATTACAAATAGACGATCGACATCGGTTAATGACCTTTAGGGCCACACCGAACTAAGTACCACTCAGAGGAAACACAGATTAAAATTAATTACGTGACAGAGACACTTGTATATATTAATTCAGCGATAATGATTCATAGAAATAATATTTTAATTTCGTTAGGAAAGGTCAGTAATAATATTTTTCTCTACATTTGTGTTCTTTGTACATATGTATTAGGAATCATAATAATCAAATATACAATATATATAATTTTTATAACCTACGTAGGATAGTAGGATATTATATACGTAGGATAATTAAAAATAAAATAAATTTAAAAAGTTTGGTCCCGCTGGCAGCATTTCATTGCATTTCATATCATTTGTAATAGGATACAAAAGATAAAGACAACATAAAATAAGACTTCCAAATTTAGATTGTAAAAGAACGAAAGAAAAGTCTATACAAAAACAAATTAATATTTGTTGTTTATTTCATGGATAAATTAGATCTTGATACAGAACTGAGACTGCCATTGGATCAAATTTTGTATTTGGATCAGAGCTTAGACCACCAGATATCATTACAACTATGCAAATCTTTTTTCAACATTCTAACAATACTCAAACATTCACATCTTAAGAAAGTCTCATTTAAAAACTATACATACAAATTATAGTGCAGACTCAAAGAACTTTAATATTTCTTACAAATGCTTGCATATGAAATGCATGCACGCGGCAGTGAAGTATAATCAAGCTGGGATAAGATTTTTTAAAGATTTATATTTTCTTTAAGTTGCTTTTAAAATATGCTTCTTATTTTATTCTTAAAACCGTTCTAATTCATAAACGAGTGCTCAGATTAAATATATTAAAAATAAATATATTATGTAGTTTGATTTATTTATAATTCATAGTTTTTTAATAAAATATTTAAGGGATAAGTTTTCTTAAGTATCAGACAGTATAGATTTAGTACGTTTTTATGAAAAAAAAAACTGAAATATAAAATAATTAAATATATTTTAAGGACGGTAAAAATTTAGTTATTTTAAACATTTACCATAGAGTCAGCATTCTGTGGCAAACATTTTTCATATTTACTAATCTTAGATTAAAACTCGCAACATATGGCAGGTACTAATGGGAAAATATTCCCGCATAAAGTTTTTGTTTTTGTTGGAATCATTCCCATGTATTATACAGGACCATTTAAGATTTATCTCGTACAATAATCAAAATAATGTGTAATCTAAATATTTATATACCTTTCAGCGATGGTGCCTCCACGGTGCGGCATGTCGGCATGTGTGGCGCTTCGTTGCACTCCACCGCCGAATCTGTCAACAAAATACATTAATTTTAGTTAAGCATATAAACATGGAGAAATCTCTGAATCACAGCATTATGATCATAGACATAACATTCCTGAAGTAAACTATATGTATTAATAATTTTCCTATTTTTACTTTTACTTTAGTAAAGATAAAAATCTCTTTGGTTTTAAGAGCACTTATTCCAAGAGGAGCTAAAGAATTATTTAACTGATATTATACTAAAGAAGTTTACTTGGTAAAGAAGTCTAATAAAATATAAATTATATAGTAACAACATAGTGTAACTAAGATGATTAGATATTCAGTAAGTTACTTAAAAAAAAATATAACAAATAAAATCGTCCAAAGAAACATTTGCAATAGAATCAAGAACGCAAATAAAAAAACTTACTGAAGACTAACTTTTAAACTAAATTAGGACAGCCTCAGTCCATCTATCAGACATATAAAACATTGAAATAAATTAAAACAAATTTAGTAAACATAATACAAAATTACAGGAAAAATATACCTAGGCTTTTCAAATTTCTCCTTCAAACTCCGGAAGCTGTAGAGCCTCTCCTCCGCTTGTTGCAACGACAACATTGTTAATTTCACTTATAATTCACTTAAACTATACAAAAATATTAAATAGCTCCGCCAGGGACAAAGGATGACATTGTGTTTGGTCCGCGCGCAGACGATAACTAAAATCGTCAGTGGTTATATCCTGTCAAGTTTACGTCACAGGGCTGTCCTTAATATCAGACAGGGCTTCTATTTAAGGAAGTGTAAAATTCAAATCAAGTTCTGTCAATGTTTTTTGTTAACCTCTATCAAATCGTTTGTCTATTAATTTTGACTTTTCAAACGTTCAAGACAAGATTGTGATTTGGTACACATTTTAAAATACGACGCAATTAATTCGTGGAAAATACAGAAATTTAAGTACTGCAATTATTAGATAAAAAAAATACGTAAATTGATTTTAAAATATTTAACTGGTTTTGTTTCTTTACAATGTTTGTGAAGTTTAGATTTTGATCAAAGTGCCATTTTATTTATTTATTTCGTACTCCTACAGCCTTAATTATATATAATAAAAACACTAAAAATATAGCCAAATATGAAATATATAATACATACAAAAGGATCAAATATTTACGAATCACGGAAAGGAAAAGTCAACAATTATCATTAAATACATTTGACTAAATTTACCTGATTTGGGTGTGTGTGATGGTGTGAAGCAAGTGAGGGTATGAACGTAAGTTAGTTCAAGCTTACAGCGTTTTGAGTAAAGGTCAATGTGTTACCTCCACTGGCCAGTAGGCCATAAAGGCCAGAGAACAACTGATTTAGATTAAACCTATCAAAATTTTATTTAGCAATGTATTAAAAGCCTAAAGTCGCTTATTCGTTTGTGAAATTGAATTGTATCTTACTATAATCTTTGCGCTACTTTTGCACAAGTAAATTCTTAGGAAACAAGTAAAATATCCATGACACAGTTAAACTAATACAGTTAAATATTATTAACAATTAGGTGCAATGGAGGAAAACATGGTAGATAAGTCGACCTCATATTTACATAATCCATTTTACACTTCCTCTGTACTGCTAATTATTCCACTATGATAATAAATGTCCTATAACAAACGTCATATTGGCACAGTGGTTAAGCATGTAATTCTCTACCCTGAGATGAGGCAACCTACTTCAAAAAACAACAGTTAAAAAGAGTCATTGCAGAAGAGAGGGAACTTATTCCTCAAATTTTTTTTAAAAACATCGTGGAAATCATACCTAGGATTAAAGCTGTGACATTGGCAAGAATTAAATTTTAAAAAGTAAAACATTTACTTGTTATTATTGTCGACCATTTCTTAATGATTGGCCGTTTACATAGCATTTAATTCATAAAAAAAATATAAGAAAAATGCCAGAATTCACTTTATGCGTATCCATTTACGCGATTATAAGTATACAAACCACATCAGAAAAATACGTAAATTTCTGTAGGAGTCGGGTTTTTTTTGCAAAATAGTTTATACGAGTGATAATATAAATAAAATTGTATTTTCGTATATATGTAGTAAATAGAATATCTTCTAAAAGCTTAGCCAATCTAGTAATCAAAATACGTCGTTACTTTGAAATCTCCTTGGGATTTTTAAAGCCGGTAAAATAGAGCATTTTAAATAGTTATAAGACAGGTTATCTTCTATTGTCTATGGACAGGCAAAGTGGGATTTTAAGAATATATAATAGGGGCATACTATATCTAGCAAATATTTGATTAAGTTTAATACTTTATATTACCCATATGTAAATGTGTTACACAATTCAGCATTTAAATTCTACTAGATGTTTATAGGATTTAAACTAAAATAGAAACGAAACTATTTATTTAAAGGTTAGGAAAAACTATATTCATTAAAAATATCATGCAGCATTTATAAGATCTAGTATACTCCACATATTTCATATACATACCAAAACAAACGCGTAATATAACCTGTAAGTGAGGAACGTGCGCGCCCTACTAGGACCGCAACGCGACTGCGAAGGTTTTACCGCTTGGGCGGGCGGCGCTACGACAAACCAACTATTGATACTCGAAGATGAATTTAAGAAGAAAAATAATGTTTTACAAATACACATTTAAAAAAAAAATTATATAACGCAAATGAAGTTATGTATGTAAACGACTATCAAAAGTTACGAAAAATTGCAAATTCGTGGTTTAAAATTAACTGTTTAGGTCTGGGCCTCAGATATCTGTATCTGTTTCATGATCATTTGTTTTTTTTTTCAAATAGGCAAGCAGGTGAACAGGCTTCTGTGCCTGACACACGCCTATGACTTTTTGTTGGTCATGCCAGTTCAACGTACGAGCGATTGTTAAATGTACACAAAGAAAGTACATTGGTGCACAGCTAAGCATCGAACCTACGACCTAAAGTATGAGAGTCGCACGCTGAAGCCACTAGGCTACCACTGCTCTGCCAAACATAAAACCAGTAATAAAAATTAGGATCACAACTCTTCAACTTTGCACATTTGCTCGGAACAAATACATTACATTGTAATTACCGAATAAGGGCTTTTAAATCTGAATCACACAGATGTCGGTACGGCTACTTCTTGACAAAACAAACAGCTTCCACACAAGTTGGCTTCCGTTTAGCATACATGAAATATTAACAATGAAACTTCGCGTATACCCGGCCACTACACTCAGACTGCATTGTGTGCAAACAAAGGGAGGCTCCGGCGCGTTACTCATTAAAACACTACTTAAGGTTCGACTCTGATACGACACGGAGGGCGCTACAATACAACCTCGCGGCCTACCCGAATTCTTTACAGAATCATTGGGCTCCCCCAAAATGCAAATCGTAATCGTCGTTGTAAGAGAAATTCATTGATAAAACTTTGTGGCACGACATACATTTTATAAAAAAATCTGTGTACAATTAGAAAAAAACGTACAGTTTATACATTTTCATCTATGTTACACATCCTACAAGAAACAAATTCCTGTGAGCAACTAACTTAAACTGTATACTGACTGTGAAATGATGTCTCATTAATCTTTTATCACTAATATCTTATTATATGCTTACTGTAACTGAGAGCTATTGACCAATCTTTCCTAAGTTAATACATGGATATACCAAGCATGACACTTCACCAGTGAAGTAACCATATGGTATCGTTACACATTTTACCCATAAACTATGATCCAACGACATTGCTAATTAAATTCCAAACGAAACACTTCGTCAACCCCTAGTACGGGCTACGTATATTAATTTCCCGCGTTCGGTTTGCCCTTGTGTATACGGAAAAGCGCATTGACACACACATACTCGTATCTATGTAGTGGCGAATCGGGCATCGCCCGTCGCGTCGTACCAGGCGTCACAATATAGACAATGAACTTGTAAATCGTAAGATCGGTATCATTGTTTTAACTATTTTTTATTGGCCAGATTATAATAAAAGCGGCAGAAAATGGATGTTTCATTCAAGTGGTTCTACCACTTGAAAGAAACATTCAACATTCAACACAAACAAACAACAACACAAAAGAAATACTCAGAAAAGATTCTTAATTCCCGAGAAACTTTGAATACTTGCAATTTTTTATATTACCTACTAATTTCTAGATGTTCCAAACTTCGAAGACGTAACTTATTTGATAGATAGCGAACAATAATAAAACAATTTTAAAACTCTTTTATCATAGAAAGGAAAAGGCATCTGAAACAAGAATGGAATGACGATTTAAAGCTTCATATAGCTTCCAAATGAGCGTAGTAATTACGAATGGTCCTACAATATATAGCTTATAATTGCATAGCGCTATAGGGATGAAATATGCCTGGAGCTTTTCCTGGATAACCGGAAAATGCGATAGCCGACCGGAATTCACCCGAGGCACGGACGTTTTATGAAAACGTGAAATTGTTTCTAGACATTTGCAATCGCTTTGATAAGATTTGTTATTGTTTTTGATTATATTAAGTGATAATGAAATAAAAATCAGTAGATAAAAATTGCATATATGATAATTATATACAACGTTTTATATAACTATTTATTAATTTAACTGTGAATATAAAATACAGTTTTTTATGACCTATACTTTTATCATACAAACAATTTACTACTACACACATTAACACACATTAAATTTATAATTAGAACTATATTTTGCAACTTATAATCATATGAATAAAAAATATTTCAATGAGATAGATACTTAAATCGTATGCATTGAAAGGAAGAGCTCAATGGAATCATACATCTATACGAATCGAACCCTTAAAATCTTCCAAATGAGTTAACAAATTCCTCGTTAAATTGTTACTTAAATGGAATGGAATCAATATAAGACGCGTATCAAGATCATATATTAATACATCACATCACTTATGTATGCAAAAGTATTTTCATGAATTACCCAATATCTTAACAGAGTGTTAGTTGTTTCTTTAGATAAAAGCATTCTAACGTCAGTAAAAAAAGAAGCATGAATACAGAAAAAATATCTACTACTACACATTCTGCAGTAGAATGGAAAAGCGGACCAGAGAGCCTCTGAGTGCGGCAGTGTGTGTGTGTGTAGTGTAGTGTACCCGAAGTAGTGTATTGCTGACCCGTCTCTCTGATTAGCCTTATTTTACCTGAAGTGAGTACAGTCCACATACCCTCGTGCTCTTTGTGTGGGGGATGCGTAATTCCCCATTGGATATAAAAATTTTTTTCCTGAACTGAGCTTTTTTAAGGCAGTTCTTGCCGCGCACCGCTACAATGTGGAACCAGCTGCCCACTAAAGTATTTCCGAACCAATTCGAAAAAACTTGCAAGTATAATAGAATAATAATTCTTGAAAGTGCATACACCAGTATTAGTACATGCTTTTAGGGTATTAAAATGTATTAAATTAATTAAATTTACAATGTTCAATCTGAATTGTCGCATTGCTCTGGTACGACAGGCTGTTAAGCTCACGAAATGTACATCAGTTTTGTTATTCTAAATTCTAATAAAACTAGACCTGTATTGAATTTATTCTTAAATCCCAACTCCACGTA